TCAATGTCACTGAACTGTACATGTAGAAACTGTTGAACTGGTGTTTGTTTTGCTGTGCATATTTTCAACGACAACAAAATAAAATAAATGTGTTTTTAAAAAGTCCTATTAGATAGGTAGAGACAAGTATTGATTTGGGTGAAGAGAAGGCCAATGTACCCAATGTGAGTGATCAACATGGTGGCATTGAGAAAGAGGAAGACATAGAGAGGTACATGGGAGGTACAGACAACAAAGATGAACCCTTTTGCGCATGCAATACTGTGTTGTCAGTGATGGCAAACATTGATCTACGGGTGGATAGATGGGTGGACAGCTGAACTACTAGATGTGTCTATGCAGGGGGCAGTGTGCCCATGACACTGTTGACAGACAATGTTTCTACAAGGGTATTTGTATGTTCTGTAAGAATTCCCAGGTATATGGTGGAGCTGACAAGGGGCAAGGTGGTAGTCACTTCTTGGCCACAGCTAGCTAACCAGAGGGAGCGAGTAGTTAGACCTGTGGGCTTGGGACCATAGTCACAGGGGACATCAAGCTCAATTGGCATAACATAGTACCTAAAACATTGTTCCACATCCTACTTTGGTGAGTAGTGACTGGGATCTTAAAAGCTTTCAAGTGGCCATCTAGATGCAATGATGGGTCTCTCCTTATCCAGAGCAAAGAAGAATGAAGAAAACCAAAGACACATGGAAACAATTAGTCCAAGGGACTGGTACACCATGCAATCCTCAGCCTGTATGACTATGAGACCAGAAGAATTAGATGGTGCCTGGCTACCACTGTCAACCACTTGGAGGGGGATCTATGTAGGAGATCCTGGATGGAGTGGAAGAACAATGTGGAACAAAACTCAAAATCTTTAAAAAAAAAAAAAAGGACCAGGTTTGTTGATCTGATAGAGCCTGATGGAACCACTGAGACTTTGGCCTGTAGCTGCCCTTCAGGTCTGGAATTGAACCCAAACAAAAGACAGACATATGAACTGTACATTTACATTAGGTGGATATACTCCTTGGAGAGATCAATCATGGGAGAATAGAAAGGCTGTGTATGCACAAAGGAGACAGCTCAGGGGCAGGAGTGCATGAGAGGGAAGGACACAGGGAAGAGGTAACTATGAGGAGGATGTGGGAGGGAAGCGGTTGCCTTGTGGGAAATTATAGTCAATGTCATAAGACAAAGTATATGTGAGCTGCTGTATGGAAAGTGAATTTGCTCTGTAAACTTTCACCCAACTCACAATAAAAATTAAAAAAGAAAAATCCTATTGAGCACAGCTCTACTCTGACACACATGGTGTCATAATGAGTTGGAATTGACTCAGCTGCAACTGGTGGTCTGACAAGTTATTAACACTCCGTAGTTCACCTTCATCTGTTAAATGAAAGGATAACAGTCCTACCTCCTAGGACTTTGGGAGAATACAGTAGCATAATATATATAAAGCCCCTTGCACAGTGTTGGCACATGATAAATGCTCGAAAACTGCCCAAAAGCTAAGAAAAAAAGGATTTTTCCAAACATTCAACCACCGCATAAACCTTAACAACACAGAATCATAAAACTGTGGAAGGCACTATACAGTATCTAATCTGGCTATTTGCAGTCACTTTTCTTAAGCCAACATCATTTGCTGTGGTTGGGTGCTGTCGAGTTGAATCTGACTCATAGTGACCCCATGTGGCAAAGTAGAACTGCCACATAGGCTGTAACCTTTACAAGGAAGAGCCCTGGTTGAGCACTCAGCTGCTAACTAAAAGGTCAGTGATTGGAACCCACCCAGTGGCTCCACAAGAGAAAAAACTTGGCAATCTGCTCCTGTAAAAATTACAGCTTGGAAACCCTGCGGTCATAAAACCTTACTATGAGTCAAAAGTGACTCGGCTGCACACACCAACATTCTTTACAGGAACAGATCACCAGGTCTTTTTCCCACAGACCCTCTGGGTGAATTTGAATCACCACCCTTTCAGTTAGCAGCTGAGTACTTAACTATTGCACCACCAGAGCTCCTTAAGGATTTTTTTTAACAGAACAGTATGAGGAACCTGGTATTCAAAAGGAATGAAAGAAGAGCTGAGACTGGGTGTGGTGGGGATGCAAGCAGAGATCCACCCTCCCTTTCCTTACCCCCACCTCCCCTGGAAGGCCCTGAGATACCTAACAGGATCTGAAAACCAAAAATCTCGCCCAGCTCCACCATTTATTCCACTGATAAGGGAATGGCCTAGAAACATGAAGTTGTTTTTTTCATTAGTACAACCAGAGCTACATCCTGCGTTCTTATTACAAAACTTTGCACTACAACACAATGACACAGAATGGGACTATAAGAAGAAACTCATGAAAGGAAACTTTAAAACATTTCAAGCTTTAGTTCATAATATGTAAACTTTTCTTCCTCATAGTTGATTATCTTCTGGGTGGCCCATATCTGTTTTCATGTTTATTTTTCAACTGTTTCTGGTGCCACTGAAAGCACTTCCTGTGTCATTCCAGAACTTTCTATCAGTCTTAAGGAAAAATAACAGCTGTGTAGATTTCTATGAAACTTGACTGGAAAAAACTTCACCCTCTTCTGCACCCTCTACCTTAACCTTCTGTGATCCCTTCTGAGACTAAATAAAATTCTATGATTTCTCAATGTTTTCACATTTGGGGCATTTGACTTCAACCTCTTGACCAGAGTGTTCTTTCAGATAGATATATTATGCAGCACAGAAATGTCAGCACAAAGCTGACTCAATGAAACTTTGAACTCAATGTATTTTCTTTTCAAGATAAGGCAATGTTTGTACAAACAACCTCGAACTTTATTTGGAAAAGAAAAAAAGATGTAATTTATGACTGCTGTGTTATTTCCAAATGTGGCTAGTTTCCTTTTAGGTTATACATGTGTCTTTATGTACTTGTAGAAAGCTCTTTTCGCTTACTTTTGAAAAAGAAGGGCGTTGAGTTGTGGGTAGGGTAGCCAGGACTCTAATCAGGAAACATCTAATCAGGTAAACTGACCCATAGTCTCCTGGCACGTAACTCTGTTCGTGTTTGCTACCTGGGTTTGTCATGACTTTGGTGCATGTCCATCTCCTGTATGCGAGAGACTCTGTCAAAGAAGAAATGTGTTCCTTAAAACTCCTGAAGGTCTCCTTCCTACTGAATTCACTCTTAGCTCAAGGTCAGTGCTCTTGAGAAATATTTACGAGCGGATTATCCAAGAGACTTCTTCATTGTAAATCAGTCATGCTGAAAAATTCCATCATTTCAGACTGCTATTCCAAAGGAGCTCTGGTAGTGTAGTGCCTAAGGCATTTGACTGCTAAGCAGAGGGCTGGCGGTTCAAACCCACCAGCCACTCCTTTGAAGGAAGATTGGGCAATCTACTTCTGTAGTGATACTGCCTTGGAAACCCAAGGAGGGGTCACTATTGAATTAGATCCCACTCCACAGCAGTGAGTTTGGTTATCTATATCTATATCTATATCTATATCTATATCTATATCTCCCAAAGTAAAGGAGCTCTGGTGGCACAGTGGTTAAAGCCCTCCACTGCTAACCAAAAGATCAGCGGTTCCAACCCACCACATGCTCTGTCAGAGAAAGATGAGGCAGTCTGCTTCCATAAAGATTTATAGCCATGGAAACCCTATGGGGCATTTCTACTCTGTCTTAAAAAGCCACTGTGATTTAGAATGGACTCAATGGCAGGTTTCTGTTTTATTTTGTCTTGTTAATATCAAAGGAAGAGTCCCTGGGTGGTACAAATGGTTAACGTGTGCTTAGCTTCTAACCAAAAGACTGGAGGTTAAAGTCCACCCAGAGGCACCTCGGAAGAAAGACCTGACAATCTACTTCTAGAAAATCAACCATGACAACCCTGTGGAGCAACGTTCTACTCTGGCACACATGGGGTCCCCAGGAGTCAGAGTCAAAAGAATGTGGAACTGGGTACAAAAGGGAAATGCAAATTGTGATAGTAGTCTACTGCGTGGAAAGAAATATGTAACTGAATAAAAAGAGTACTGTTTGAACAAAGTTAAATGGCTCCTTAAAGGAACTATAATTTTCAATTTCTAGGATAATAGGGCTAGTTTGGAGACAAAATTAATTTAGTAACAAATACATGTAAGAATTGCATCTAATATATATTGAGCACTTACTGTAAGCCAGGCACAGATCTAAGAGCTTTAAGGTAGCATATCTTATTTAATCTTCACAACAGTCCTCTAGGGTAAGCTATTCTTATCCCTGTTTTACAGAGGAAGAAACAGAGGCTTAAATAATTGGTCCCCAGTGGTAGTAGGATTTGAACCCAGTAGCTCCAGACCTACTTAAGCACCAAATGACTGACTGACTGACTGACTGAAATGCATACAAAAGAAAACAATGCTTTTGCCATATAAAAACACCAAGAACCCAACAACTATAATTCTCAGGCGATTTGTGCAAAGACTCTATCTTATGTTTTCTGAATTTTGGAGAAAGGTGGGGAAGAAAGATAAAAGAACACCATCCATGGGTTAAATGTTTTCTTGTCCTGACCTGTATTTTATAAATTTTATAAATTTCTTGGTTATTTCATTAATGAGACCTTGCATTTCCTAGAACAGGTTTCTTTTGAGTCACTCTAGGCATCTCACAGGTACTACCCAATTGATTTTTACTATACCAACATGAGGATGTTAAAAGTAGACATTATCCTCACTGGAGTGGATGGTAAACTGATACACAAAGATATAGGCATTTGCCCATGGTCATGTCACTCACTCCAGCGAGGGCATTAAACTCTGGCTTTCTGAATCCTAGCTCAATCCTCTGTTCACTTGGCAGCTCTGTCTCATGTCCATCACAACCGTAGGCCTTCAGTTTATTGTGAAAGCAAAGATGAGCCATCTTATTCTCTTTTAGGTTTGTGGATGGCGCCTAGAAGATATTGATTTGCCCCCAAGGAAATATTGCTTTGCTGGCTTTCCTGCCATATTGTCTCCCAGTCAACCATGAACCAGGCAGAGCCTGCTGATGACCCAGATCCCAGCCCTGAACCCTTGTGTGTGGTGTGTGGCCAAGTCCATTCCCCTGAGGAAAATCACTTCTACACCTACACAGAAGATGTGGACGATGACCTCATATGTCACATCTGCTTGCAAGCATTGTTAGACCCCTTGGACACTCCCTGTGGACATACTTACTGCACACTCTGCCTCACCAACTTCCTGGTGGAGAAAGACTTCTGCCCTGTGGATCGCAAGCCTGTGGTCCTGCAGCACTGCAAGAAGTCCAACATCCTGGTCAACAAGCTCCTCAACAAGCTGATGGTGACCTGCCCTTTCACAGAGCACTGTTCCGAGGTGTTGCAACGCTGTGACCTTGAACATCATTTTCAAACAAGGTAAGTCCTGCTTCTCAGCTAACCCTGAGAAACCCCACCCTCATGGGTCAGCTGTAACTTGCCTTTGTCTCCCAAGGGCGTAGTTGACCTTACATGCCCCAGGTGCACCATAAGATCCCCGTTTCTTTTTTTCTTTACAAGCAATGAAAGAATTAATTCAAACTAAGAAACACTTTAGGTTGCAGTGGAGCTGGTTCAATGTGACGAAGCACCAGATGACAGATGATGTTATATGTTTATGTTTGTTATTTTTAAATATTTATTTATTTAATTTGGTGGCAATATACATAGCAAAACTTAAACCAGTTCATCGCTTTGTACATATACAATTCAATGACATTGATTACATTCTTTAAGTTATGCAACCATTCCTTCATTTTTCCAAATTATTTCTGTACCATTAACATAAACTCACTGTCCCCTGAGCATCTCATCTAACCTTCTGAGTTGCCCTTGTCATTGTGATCACCTAAAGTAATTCTTTCAAAGAGCACAATGCTCAAGACGGACATTCTTTACTACTTATTATTTGTTTTAAAAAAGACTTCAAGGAATAGGTAGTTTTGATTTAAGGTTTAAAGATTATTTCAGGGCAATAGGGTTTATCTAGCCTCAATGGCTCCAGAAAATCTGGATTTCATTGAGAATTTGAAATTCTTTTCCATATTCGCCCTCGTTTTGATCAGGATTCTTCTATAGAATTTTTGATCAAAACAAAATCTCATGGCAAAGGAGGAAGTAGTTCCTGGAGGCCAACAGACCACTTTCCATTTCCTCCTCCAACTCCTGACTTTCCTCCTTCCTCTGCTGCTATAGGTGGCTGGAGGCCAACGTTGTACCTTGGATAGCTACTTTTAAGCTTTTAAGACCCCAGACAACCCACAATGAACTAGGAAGTAGAACAGAAGCACTAAAAACAATATTAGGCCTGTTGAGTGGCTGTCCCATGAAATCATGACCCTTAGTCTCCAAACAAGAAAACAAATCCCATGTTTGGTTGTACATAAGCAGTGGCATCAGCTACTCTGTTTTTGGTGCTGTTGTTTTTGTGAAAAATACATATAACACAACATTTGCCAATTCAACATTTTTTAGGAATTCAATTTAATGATATCAATTACATTAATCATGTCATGCAGACACCACCCATAATCACTGCTATGTATGTGTTTTAAAATGTGAAAAGCATTGGAAAGATCAGATTAACAGCTTTCCCTGAGGCTCATGATCCCCATGAAGATATCCTGGTGAATAGTGCTTGGTTTTTTTTTATTTTATTTTTTTTTTCGCTTTTTTCACTGGATCCAGGAGTATTATAATTCCTTTCACCAAACTTTTAACAAGAGAAAAAACATGATGCTTGGGAAAGAAGAGAGTTGGAAAAAACAAGGGAAACTTCCATGAGATGGATTGACACAATAGGCAAAGCAGTGGACTCAAATATACCTCCATTTGTGAGGACAATGTAGAAACAGGCAGTGTTTTGTTCTGTTATATCCATATGGTCTCCATGAGTCAGAGTCGACTCACTGGCAACTAACGCCAGGTGTTGATGCTTTGAGGTATTTCCAAGTAAGTTTTAAAAGGAGAAATTGAAAAAGAAAACTTTCCAAAATGACTTGTTCTGCTAACTTTCTTGCCAAGATAAGCATATTGACATAATTAGGGTGTGATTGTCTCTGCTGATGGTCAGCATCACCTGCTACACCTGTCTGTGTCTTATTCCGTCCACTAATGTTGTCCTGTTTCCAAGCATTCTTTGTCTCGACCGACTCAGGAATGGCACTGTGTCTTGTTCCACATGATGTCCTCTCTTAGAACATTTAAGGTGCTTAATAAATGATGAACAATAATGTCAATTGTTAGCATTATTATAGTTATTTTGTAAGAGGAAATGTGGAAGCTGGTGTTTATCTTGGTTCCTATCATGACAAGGGCAGGAGGCAGGTACAGGTATTTTTGTTAAAGGTCACATACCTTAGGTCATGAATCTGAGTCTTTGTCTTTGGGGATATGCAAGGATTCTGGAACATAGAACTTGATAGTCAAAGCAATGGCCTGAGTGTAATGCTTAGCACATGTTTTCCATGCTAATTATGTTGAACTCATTTGTCTCCCCAATATGTTCAGCAAAATGTATCTAACTTGGCTTTGTTATTTGCAGCTGACTCTATTGTTGCTGGTGTTTAAACCAGGATGAAGGGACATTGGTGGTTCTGTGGTAGAATTCTAAGGTTCCATGTGAGAGACCCAGGTTCAATTCCCAGTCAATGAATGTCATGCATATCCACCACCCATATAGCAGTGGAAGCTTGTATGTGGTATGATTCTGAACAGGTTTCAATGGAACTTCTAGACTAAAGCACACTAGGAAGAAAGGCCTGGTGATCTATTTCTGAAAATCAGCCAACGAAAACCCTGGGAATCACAACAGTTCTGTTCACAACTGATCATGGAGTTGGCATAGGATTGGGCAGTATATTGTTGTGCATAGTGCCACCATGAGCTGGGGGCCGACTGGACAGCAGCTAACAAGAACAACAAACTAGGAATCCCCACTTCTCTGATTCCCTACAAGGAGACATGACCAGAGAAGGAATTAAAGGAATCACTTTCTGACCCTTGTTACTAGTTTATCCCAGTATGATGGACTTTGTCTAAAGGAAAGTAAGTTTGCAGTGAAAGATAGGAAGATGCTGACAGGTGCTGGTGCAGAGCCAGGGCTGAGACCAGAGCCACACTTGGGTGGGGGAGGTGATGAGCAGGAGGAGAAAAGGCCTTGAAAGAACTCCCTCCACACACACAATCACTTTCCCATGCTCCTTATGTTTTATAATCTACCACATTTTCCACAAAAAATGTGTATACTATGCCAGAACTGTTTTACATAATTTCATATTTTCCATGCCTTATATGTGTGGAAGGAGCTCTGATATCATAGTGCCTAAGGCATTTGACTGCTAACCAGAAGGTTGGTGGTTCAAACCCACCAGCCACTCTGTGGAAGGAAGATTGGGCGATCTACTTCTGTAAAGATTTACCGCCTTGGAAACCCAAAAGAGGTCACTATGAGTAAGAATTGACTTGATGGCAGTAAAGATGGAGATGGAGTTTTGTTTTGGTACATGTGTGGACATGTTATATACAAATAATAATAATAATACAGTATACATTTGTGTTTGAGGCTGTATTTGTTTCCTATTGCTGCCATAACAAATCATCACAAATTTAGTAATTTAGAACCACACAAATTTATTATCTTACAGTTCTGGAGTTTAGAGTCTGAAATGGGTCTTTTGGGGCTTCTGTCAAGTTGTAGACAGTGCTGTTGGGGGCTCAGTGCTGTCCTTGCCTTCTCTAGCTTGTGGAGGCTGCTTGCATTTCTTAACTCGCTGTCTCCCTCCCTCTTCAAATCTAGCAGTATAGCATCCCCAAATTTCTGTGTCTGCTTCTGCTTTCATCATCACATCTTCTCTGACTCTGACATTCCTGCCTCCCTCTTATAAGGACCCTTGTGATGATCCTGGGCCCACCCGATAATCCTATGTAACCTCCCCAACTCGAGATCCTTGGTTTAATCACATCTGCAGAGTCTCTTTTGTCATGTAAGGTAACATACACAGGTTCCAGGGCTTAGCATGAGGACATCCTTCGGCCGGGGGGGGGGGGGGGGGATCATTGCTTTGCCTGCTATGGTTTGTGAGGAAAGAGGGAGAGAGAAGGAGAGAGAGAAATAGAAGCACTTTCTGAAGAGAAAGTGAACACAAGGCAGCTTCTCCTCATCCCCTCACCTCAAAGACTGATTTGAGGCCAAGAATATCACTAAAAATAGAGACAAGCAGCACATGGTTCTAAGGGTGAAGCTGGGACAAAAGTGGGAAAGGGGAAGGGCTGGGAAGAGGCCGTTGGAGAGATCTCGCACACACTCAGCTGCTAGAGCTGACTTTCATTCACCCGCCCACACAGCTGTGTGTGACCCACACACCTCAAGGAAGCCCAAGCTACAGCCTTGATTAACACTCAGCTGATAATGATATGCACTTTTGAAAAACAACAGTGAGGAAAGAACCCAAAACTAACTGAAATTGCATCACTCCTTTGAGCTGTGGCCTCGGAGTCCTTCACAGGTAGGGATCAGCCTGTCTCTGTAGAGAGGAAAGCTCCTACATAATGAGGCATTGGGTTTTGACACCTGCTCTTGCAGCTCTCCACACTTCAGCTTCCTAAGTAGGTTAAAACCAGAATTTCCAAAAATATATTGTATAGATGAGGCATCAGATGCTTAATTCATACTGCCTGTACTCCCATCCCCTTGGCATTTCATAGGATTAAGAATTTGAAGCTAATCCAGAACCTGACTGAGAGCCCTCTTGGGCCTTGGGCCTGTGACTGGGCCAGTGGGCCACTTCTTCCTCCCCTCAGAAGGGACATTAAGTAGATTAAGTAGTTAAGGCCTCTGGAGTCTCTTGAACTAAGAAAATGGAGAAGTCATAAGGAAGCAAGTATTTTCCTTAGATTTCTATACGAGGCCTCTAGGTTGGTGGTTGCTTATGTGGAAGATATCTTTTGTTTATAAATTTTGCATCTTGGTTTCTGTACTTAAAATGTGATGAGTTTTTTTGTTTGTTTGTTTAGTTTTTAATATTCTTTGACTCATGGCATTTTAACGAATACAAACCAGGCAGGCTGAGAGAAGTATAATTCTGACCCATGCCATCTGCCCAGTCACTAAGAGGCTGTACGGAGGCAAAGCTTTCACTTCCTTGATCCAGAGTGAGAGTAGGTCTTAGGTCTAAGACCATGTCCTCATTGTGTAATACCATCACCAGCATTTTTATTTATGGATGATCCACAGTAGACCAAACCATGAATGGAAGAACAAGCTATACAAGCCATGATTTCTGCTTCTAAAGAAGGAGCAACTTAAAGGTAAAAGAGAGAAGCTGAAAATGCATGCACTTTGACTTGTTTCATAGAGCAAGTCATGTTGCCCTTCCTTT